ATGGATCATGCTTACTATATGTGCAAGAGGAAGGTCTAGATCTTCATCATCATCCTGGGCGAACGGTCGATCAGGAATTTGAAGTGGTTAGCAACAACGCAACGCAACGCAATGTATACCAAAGTTCCTAAAATTACTTGAGAACAGTATGGTATTCCTAGTGCAGACTAGGGGTGGGCATAAAAACCGAGAACCGAAGAGCGGAGCCGAAAAAACCGAGACCAAAGCCGAAAAAACCGAGTACCGAAGCTTCGGTTATACGTTCGGTTAGCAAATGGCAAAGACCGAAATTAGTTCGGTGAATTCGGTCACTCAAGACCACTGACCGAATCACCCGAATGAACCGAAGTATTTTACTATATTAATTAAAGCCCATCAAGCTAGGTCGATTAGCCCATCAATCAAGTACTACACAACAACTTTTCTCAGCCTTTTCTTTTCATCACAGCCATAAACGAACGCACGCGTTGCTAAAATAAAACAGATGCAGGCCCCACGTTGCCACCCATCAGCTTTTTTAATTGCACGATGAGGAGAATGTCTCGCCCCCAGCTGCATGCACAAAAAAAAAGTCTGACAGGCGGCGGTGGTGGTCCCGCGGCCAGCTCCTAGTGGGGGCCTCAATCTGTGATGGAAAGTGGCAGCTTAGGCTGGTCATAGTGGGGAGTAATTTAGAGTAGTAACATGCATACGTTACTACTCTATGTTATTATCCATGAGATTTTTCAAAAATATAGAAAAAAGGTTTCTTACATAAATGTATGTATACATGAACACTTTGTTTCATATGCACGAACATTTTATATTTATATTTTTGCTTGTGTGAACACTTTTCCATTTTTCGATTGTCGAAGCTGATTCTTTTAGCAAAATTAGTTAAACCAAGGAAAACAATCCCATTTCCAGCTGCACGTGTAAAATAACTATCGGCCAAAGGACAAAAAGACAGAGAGACCGGGTTCAGACTTGATCAATTCAACGCCTGAAGACTCGTCAGGTGGAAGTTACCACAGAGCGTTCCATCACCACACTGGTTCGTTTATGGTTGGGGTGAGAGTATCTCCAACTGTAGACCTCGTCAGGATCACAATAAGGGCATCTACAGTATACAGTCAGCAGTCTGTAAGAGGTTGTTTTTTGAGAATCCAGTCTGTAAGAGGTGCCAAGTACTCCCTCCGTCCCAAAATTCTTGTCTTAGATTTTCCTAGATACGGGTGTATCTAATACTAAAACGCGACTTGATACATTTAGACAAATCTAAGACAAGAATTTTGGGACGGAGGGAGTAGGATTTTCAACCACGTGGAAGAGAGAGACAGAATAAAGACGGTCGGTTCCCATAAAATCCGCTGCTTACCAACACCTTTTTCACCGTTGCATGGATAGGTCATCTGTTACGCTCCTAGAAAATCTCATTTTCTATTTTCTTCAGCACAACCAATTTTTTTTTTTAGAACGAAGGCTTAAGGGGAGCCCGACTTTGAATTAACAAAGCCATCAACCGGCCAGGATTACACAAGGCCACCAAGTAAGAGCGACCGAAAGATACAAGGGAGCTGACAGAGCTGTTTACAACGCAACGTACACTACTGCACACATAGAAATACACATGAAAAACCTGCAAGTAATGTCGAAGCCCGCTGCACATCGGCACCAAGAGCAGGGGAGCAGAGTAGCGTCAAGGATCAGCCAAAGGCCTGTAAGAACTGTGCGCAGCCGGATCGTGGGATTGGGATCACGAAACCTGTCTTCCAACGCCGAAGAAGACCCCAATCCTCTCGCCAGTGGCGGAGCCAGGATTGGAGCAAGCCCCGGGCCCAAACAAAAATTTCGCCGCAAGAAAAAACTAAACGTCCGTAAGGCACTTAGCTACCACAAAAGATACCCCATACAAAATATGGCTCAAGTGCATGAAAAATTTAGAATTGAAATCCAATGCCCAACAATACAATAAAATAATTTAAAACATGTCAAAAAATACAAAGAACGGTACGTGATAAAAAAGAGTACCAAATCAAAAGAAGAGCCAACGCCTCCTGTTTGCTTCACCAGTGCCTCCCATAATCTCATCATCGGAGGAAGAAGAGCCAACACCTTCAAGACTTCAAAAAAAATTCATAAGAGAAGGCATAAACGACATCAAGTGGAAGGATTGTCCAAGAAACAAGCTGCAAAGACCCAAGGGCGAAGCTTGGGAAGCCTCTGCTTGGACTCGCAGCCGACGAGCGCTCTCCTCCCTCGGCACCACTCACCCGGAGAACCAGACAAACCCAAGGCGGAGCCTCCAAGGAGGGAACGACGTGCAGGACGCCGCCACTGCCCAACCCGAGACGAGTTTTGGGCTTTCACCCGGGATCTGGGACGGGGATGGATACGGGAGACCTCAGCGGTGCCTCGAAGGAGAAAAGACGATGCGCGCACGCGCCCTCACCACCGTGGTCGGAGATCCGACCAAGGGTTTCCCCCGGACTCGAGATATGCCACCGGCACCCCGCCAGCACCGGAACTGGCAGCAAAAGCTGCAGATCGGACACAGCCGGAGGGAAAGAGTGAGCAGAGGAGGAGGAGCAGCTCAACCTTCAGATCTGGAGCGGAAAGACCGCGCCACAACCACCACCCGCCAGATCCGCACAGCCCGAGCAGCCGAGGACGCCGGCCGTCACATCCCACGCACGCCGCCTGTCGCAGAGGCTGCGCCGCCTCGCCGTCCGGGGTCGCCGCCCCGGTGTCCGGAGTCCTTCGCGTGGGAACGAAGCGGCGAGAGGCCTCGCCGCCACCTTCATCGGCGGCCACCGGGGCTTGCCAGGCGTCCCTCAGGTGGCGGCGAGGGGAGGAGATGTAGGAAGGGGTGGCGGCGGCGGGGGAAAACC